TTTCTTTTCGTTGTACTTGTTATACTGCCCACCAACTAACAAACTCCTTAAAGTTTTTGATCCACACGTAATGCTTTTTATAGAACCGTAAGCATATTTCTGCTTGTTTGGATTTCGAGAGATCTGATGTGGCTCGATCGCTAGTATATCTTCGATAAATCGGTTGTGTGTCATCATCTACTCCAAACACATCAATATCACATTATAGAAATATAATGTTTTGTTTCTCAAATTTTGGAATTGGATAATCGGAAACGGGAAACGCAACTCCGAAAAAAGTTTAGATTATTAGAATGGCAAATGTAATTTGATATTATGTCGATGTGCTTGTCTGCTGGGAGAAACGCTGATAATAACCAACATTGGAATTATTTGTTATCGTTGTTCTTGACATTGATACACTTCTTTTAATTTTAATTGACAGATCGACATATGAGCTACCTCGCAATGGATTATATCTCATAGTATGAAAAACTCATATTATTTTATCGAATTTTCAACCCGATCCGGATGTTGTATATTCATCAGTTTTTGTGTGTCTCCTGAAATATACCATGTGACAATGATAACAAATTTATTCCAATCAAAATCGGCGGAATAGTGAGTTATGTAAGAATCAGCAAATTCTTGTTGTTATTGTTGACCGACTAGCCGATCTAATGATATATTCAACTTTGCAAAACGAACATGAAATTGCAAAATAATGTTCAGACCCTTGTGCCTAGCAAGCTCAGATTTTACAGTTGGATGAAGTAAATGAAAGAAATCTCTAGATTAGAAATATGTTAGTAAAAGTTGTTTATCAAATATACAACTGTTGTAAAATCCGGAAAATGCTATTGCAATTTTTGGGGCTGATATTTTGTCACATTAGGTCGAGTAAGAAACCGTTCCAAGTTATTCAGTTATATAACACAATATTAGAATGTTTTGCACTTCACTGTTTATACATCAATCTTTAGAAAATCCTTAGGAGTGTCTCTTTTCAAGCGCCCATTTCAAGACAGTTTCCCTGTCATATCAGACAAATGACTTTTTATTTTTCTCGAGTTCTGATATCTTAAAATATGTCAACAGCACATTGTTGGTTGGTTGAATTTTACGTCGCACCAGCACAAAGAGGCCATTTAGCGCCATACAAAAGGTTATATCCTTTATTATATACAAATGGTAAAAAGGGTCTGTATCGACCAGCGATACAAAACCAAATAGCTAAAGGTAAAACAATAAGAATGGTAACAGTGATAAAAATATAAAGTTTCCCGATCAACGGGGATTGCAAATAATGTATGACAACGAAAACATATGAAAGGTAATTAAAATCTAGCGACCGTACATATATAGCACATAAAAATGTTTAAGATAACATAAAAGTTATAACTTATGATATATATTTACTTCTTTAAGGAGGTCTATAACATAAGAAATACTAACTGTATCAAAGTGCTCCTTCATGTCTTGCACATTGTAATATTGATTACGTGTCAAAATCACAGTAAGGATCATATCCAACGATAAGATTAACGTGCCCATTTTACGATAAGATTAACATGCCCATTTTACGATAAGATTAACGTGCCCATTTTACGATAAGATTAACGTGCCCATTTTACGACAAGATTAACATGCCCATTTTACGATAAGATAACCATGCCCATTTTACGATAAGATTAACATGCCCATTTTACGATAAAATTAACGTGCCCATTTTACCATTGCTCATCAAACATTTAACAGCAGGTTAATGTTCAGTATTTTAGCTCTGTCAATATTCATTAATTCGTCTTGTATTTATTACTTCTATTACATAAAGGTTTATTGTCATATCGCTAAAATAATATAATATGTTTAAACGATTGTCTGATCTTCGAGCTGATCTTGATGAAATTGAAAATCGACTGATAATAGTGCATCAACATGTAGAACAATCCAAATTTAATCTAGAAACAAATTTGTGTTCTGTACCTGATGAACAACTGGACGATGAACAAGGTATTATGCCTCAACATCAACAAGTTTATGTTCCTCACGATATAATGTCAATTATCATCTTGCCAGAAAGATAACACGTTAATTTTACTGTCACAGAGAATCGAATATTTTGGGAGATACTTAAGCCGATTATGCGTATTGGACATCTTGAAGTTTATGGTCGCCAAAAATTATAAAATTCGATTTCAGTTTTGTAAAGATCTTTAACCTTATAACGGAGTTAACAGCAGATAGAAGACAACGTCTAATATCGTTGTGTTCTTGAAGGTTGGACACCTGGCATCATATATAATCTTCACTTAGAAGATCAAATCATTTATGCTATTCTAATTGATATTGAGCGCAAGACTGGACGACCAAAGTGGTATGTCATATCTGACAAAACAACAACACTAAAAATACTCTGGCGAAAAGGGGACAGATTAACAGTCATTATAGTCATGCTTTTCCGCAAATTATTTGACGACGATGAGAATCAACCCACAATGCAAATGGCAGTTCCAAAGAAACAAAGGCTGGATGTCCTAAAGTACTTTCATGATGTACCAACTGGATGGCATTTAGGTGCCAAGAAGACCCTAGAATGAATAAAGAGGTCCTTTTACTGGCCAGGTGTGAAAAAGTTTGTCATGGACTACTGACGTTCTTGTGATAAGTGTGCAGCTAGAAAGCCATCCAGAAAGATCAATAGGGCTCCTTTAGAACAATACATAGTTGGCGAGCACATCAAAAAGGTTGCAGTAGATGTACTGGGACCCCTTCTTCTGACTGAAAGTGGCCAACGGTTTATTCTGGTTGTTTGTGACTGCTTTACCAAGTGGAGCGAATCTTTCCCAATCCAAAGCAAGAGTCCAGCACAGTTATTAAAACATTTGTAGATGAATTTGTATGTCGTTTTGGCACATCATTACACATCTTGGCAGATCAAGGTCAAAACTTCTATTAAATATATTTCAAGAAATATGTGACTTTCTGAAAATAGATTAGATAAGAACCTACTAGTATGAGACTACAAGCGAATGGAACAGTTGAGAGATTTAATAGGACCTTACAAGAAATACTGATCATGTATGCTAAAAAGGATCAAAAGCATTGGGATACTTACCTGTCCCAAGTCATTATGGCCTATCCAGCTCAATAATCTTGACAAAAGGAAAACAAATACGGTAATGTTGGGAGAAAACATCACCTTACGAAAGGAAGCAATTGTAGGGAGACCATGTCCATCTCAATCCAGTGATAAAGTAGACCCAGAATATTTTTGGGAACGACTGCGCAGCAACGCCCATAATATTGCTCTTAAAAATAATTCTGATTATCAGAAAAGGCATTATGACTTGCATGCAAAGAAACGTTCCTTTACAGCAGCACAACCAGTTTGGATCTAAAATGCATCCAAAAGAGTTGGCGTATGCCATAAAGTTACCTCAAAATGGAAAGGACCATTTGTTGTTGTCAAGACGATGTTACTTACCTTATTAAGAAGTCACCAAAACAGCTCTCCAAAGTATACCATATTGACAGACTCCTGCCTTACCAGGGTAGAAACCCACTTACTTGGTTACTAAAGACGCGTAATCCTTCAAAGTTAGTCATCTTCACATACGACAGTTATAGACATTTGAGTTATTCATGAAGTTTTTTTTTATCTATATCTATATAATATACATGTGGCCATACGTCCCTGTATAAATTCAGAAGCGGGATTCTGCAATTCAGTTCACTCGCTAGCAGAATCAGAAAGGCTCTGTCTTTTCTTACAGGTGAGAATAGTCAGTGTTTGTAAATGTCCCTTAAAGAATAAGTAATTTTGTAATGTTAGAGATTTTTCTTGGTAAAGTTCATACTTTTGCAATATTTTTTTCTGAATTCTTTCTAGTTTTATTATAATGCAATGAAATGTTTGTTTTAAATAATTTATATTGATTTGTATTTTTATTGTCATCAATATTTGAAAAGACAAATTCGCTACCAACACTGTTTAGATTATATGTAGAAATAAAATGATCTTTAAGTAATCAAGAATAATATTTAGTAACTATTTTAAATCAGTATCCTATTTTAAATTTAGTAAAATGCATTTCGTCAAAATGATCGTAGCATTAATCGTAACTATTGAATTTCAAACTCTTTGGCTATCATGAATTTAGTCGCGATTTAATTATATGTATGATATTCTGAACTGCAGAAGTTTTACAAATGTATGAAATTGGTAGGTACGAACGAAAAGTATAATTTTATAATTTTGTATGTATTTCGTTTTAAATATGAAGGCTTTATAATATGTATCTCTAGAATGAAGTAGTATATATCCACATATATCAATTATTTAAATAAAGTTATCTCGCTAGCAGAATCAGAACAACTCTGTCTTCTCTTGCAGTCGTATCTCTGGCATAGCCAAATTCCACAAAGAATACAGCCGTATATACACAGTTATGCGTGACACCTTCTCCTTAAGAGAGAAGGAAAAAACTTAAAAGCTCTCTCTCTCTCTCTCTCTCTCTCTCTCTCTCTCTCTCTCTCTCTCTCTCTCTCTCTCTCTCTCTCTCTCTCTCTCTCTCTCTCTCTCTCTCTCTAGCCATGGACAGAGACGTTTCTAAAGTCGTGTAATTTCTTCTCATAGCAAGAAATGATAAGAAGATTATGATAAAACTTTTATCATAATAGATGTCTCTGACAGACGCGTGAGTATGCATTGTAATTAATAATAATTTGACAAATACGGTGTGTGTATGTATGTGTGTGTGTATGTGTGTGTGTATGTGTGTGTGTAATTTGAATTGTTAATGTACCTTTACCACTTTGTCAGTCAGATCCCTACGATGTCTTAAGTGTGACAGTTTATAGTGATGTCTAGCACTGGATACCATGCTGCAAACATGTAGCATGATGTTCCACTCTATCACATTATCCTCTCACCAGGCTTACAAGTTCTAACACTAACCTCTTAATACTAAGTGCCAAGTGAGGCAGCTGTTAGTATTATTTTTGCATGTCTTTTGTAAGACTCGGTCGGGGATCGAACCCACGACCTCCCGCATCCAAAACGGACATTCTAACCATTTGGCCACATGAGCGGTTGGTTGTAGATGATCTGCCTGGTACTGTTAAGAGCTATGCAGTATACTTGGTAATTAATGATAACTTGGGTCAATGAGATTTTAGTAGAACTTTTTGGTACTATTTACATATGTGATATATGCATAGTAATGAATGATAAGCTGGCACACACACACATACACACACACATACAATCCACATATGCAGAAGGATCCAGAGGTAAGGTCCTGTATAATTATAATATAATGTGTGTACCTTGTGTTTTAATTATAAATCCAGTGGGTTTATGGATATTAAAATTCGATTTCAGTTTTGTAAAGATTTTTAACCTTATAACGGAGTTAACAGCAGATAGAAGACAATGTCTGATATCGTTGTGTTCTTGAAGGTTGGACACCTGACATCATATATAATTTTCAATTAGAAGATCAAATCATTTCTGCTATTCTATTTGATATTGAGAGCTAGTCTGGACAGCCAAAGTGGTATGCCATATCTGACAAAACATAAACACTAAAAATACTTTGGCGAAAAGGGGACAGATTAGCAGTCATTAGGGGCATGCTTTACCGCAAATTTTTTGAAGACGATGAGAATCAACCCACACTGCAATGGTAGTTCCAAATAAACAAAGGCTGGAATTCCAAAAGTACTTTCATGATGTACCAATTGCATGGGCATTTAGGTGCCAAGAAGACCGTAGAATTAATAATATATTGAGATTGAATTCTATTGCATTTCGTTTATCACTTTCGATCATTGCCCCATCCTTCCTTAAGAATTGATATGTTAGGGTGCCTGTTCATGATTCGTATGCAATAGGTACGGTTACTTGCTACTCGGGTTCGAAACCCACTTAGAACAAAATTAGAATGATCTAAACTGTTTGGTTATATCAGTGCCGTTCTAAATTTCTTTCAAATAATCATGTATCCAACATATAATCAGGAACACAAAGCTAAGTGCATTCCTCACTGTATAGTATATAGGTGTCAGCCGATGTAAATAAATGTATAATATTACTTTGAATGTGTAAGGTTGTTGCCAAATAAAACTCCATAGTATCCTGACGATGATGTGAAAGCACGTCAAGGAATACTTAACTTCGGTTGATTGTATTGCAACATGGGTTAAGTGAGTTGTGATGCGACTTAAGTCATGAAGGAGATATTGGGGCACAGAGTCGTATTAGAATCGTGGAGATTTAAAGTGAGAATCAATTCATTCCTGATTCAAACTCAGAAATAAGTCTGCAGATGTATCTAATGTTGCATTTAGATATAATTTGAGAGGAATCATTTGTTTGGATTATACATTGCAATTACAAAGTGCATAATGAGCTTGGAATTAAATATTATTTTGCCATTACGGTTAATGTATTCAAAAAAGTTTTGGACAATGCCATTGAGATAACACCAAGGCGCTTGAAACCTCAGCATTTTCAAGAATACCAATACATCAACACAATCGAGAACTGGAATTTCTTGGGATCATTCTATCTGTTCTACTTGCGATATAATATTTAAGATTATTTTGGATCTAATTCATAAAACTGTAAATATTCATTATATAACTTAATTAAATTAAATTATTTGAAAAGTTGTAAAACAATGTGTTGGTTTTGTTTCTTTCTGTTACTTATTTTAAGGTCATAGAGTCGTAACAGAATATACTACTGATTTATTATTGAATTAGCATATATATATATATATATATATATATATATATATATATATATATATATATATATATATATATATATATATATATATATATATATATATATATATATATATATATTTATATATATATATATATATATATATATATATATATATATATATATATATATATATATATATATATATATATATATATATATATATATTTATTTATTTATTTATTTATTTATTTATTTATTTATTCAAAAAGTTTTCAAAAATCATTGCCAGTTGACCTAATGGTAGGCTTACTATATAGCAGCAAAAATATAAAACGACAAAACTTATTTTACAAAAATATTAGTGGCACAATCAAAATATTAGATATGCAAATGGCATTTAAATTTTACACTCTAATTCAGTTTGAGTTTTTATTTAAAATGAAGGATAAAGGAAATATCTGAAAACGGTGTAAAGTGTTATTACGGAGATATTTCAAGTCCAGCTTCGTGTGGTATAATGTGTTTTGGCATAGTCTCTCTGGAAAAGAGCAAACAACGATTTGAATGCAAAAGTGTTTTTTCCAATCTAGATTGACGCGTAATGTCAATTCTCTTTTTGCTATGACATATTTATGACACAGGCACCTGTCGGTTGTAATTAGAGATCTAGTGCTAATAAATGAATTTGTCAATTTACGGATATGAACTTCTATTAATCTGTACAAATGCCTTACAAACTCCATTCTAAGTCGGTTTAAAAGTACTCAGACTCGTGTCTGCCACCGCATAATGCTCCTCAAATCTGGGTCTATACAATTTGTTAAGAGGAATCAGTTATCAGAGATCCATATCAGAGATCCATATCGGTCGGTGTATCATGCAGCTTGTATGCGAGTGTAAACGATATCACAAATGACAATTTCTTTTGCTCGAAGTAGAAACATTTATTTTCTGAGGCGAATGAACTATCTCATGTAAAACATTGACCCTGCAAGGACGAACAACCCTCCACATGCCAGCTCAACTGATTCAACTTTTTACTACAGATGTGCACCGTTTTACCAAACATTTATCACAGGTGTGCACCGTTTTACCAAACATTTTTGGGAGGTGTTTTAGCCTTGTAAACATCATATTTATTGATTTTAATCAAAATAAATATTTTTAAAAAATCGATGATATTCTGCCAACGTTTTCAAAGTTATTGTAGATACGTATTAGAATAATATGAATGTTTGAGTCTTAATTTTCCAAAAATTGGGATGGACTTTATGCAGTTTCCTTAAAGTTAACTTTATTTTGGGGAAAAAAAAATCTATCGCTCTACGAAAACACCTTCTGCCATTACTCTTGCATGTATGTATTAACTGTACTAATTACTGATTATGCACTACTAACAAATATTGAAATAAAATTTTACAGACAATGTAATTGTTGCCGATAGGATGAAATATTGTAAGAAATAAAGTGATAATTTCTTTGCGGCTAAGACAGTAAAGTTTTGACCGGTAATAGAATAACCTTCCACCCATAATGCAATATGAAATCGTCTGAACAAAAAACAATTCGTTTTGAATTGTGGTCTGAATGTCTTTCATTAGCACTGATTAATAAATTGGCTCGGCAGTAATTTCTTCTGCATTGATTTAAACTATTAGCAATATAAAGATGGATATTCAAAAGAAAATTCTTGCCTGGTTTTCAGAAATATACTAGTAATTAAGTACAATGGAAGGACTCGACATTTAGATAATGAGTCAAGACATTGCAATCGGAATGACTCAATCAAGCAGTGACTCAAGATACTACGGCTTTAGTGACTCAATCAATAAGTAAGCGAATACATTACAGCCTTAGTGACTAAATCAAGATTCATTAGATTCATAGTACATACCCAATTTAGAACAGCTCATATCCATTATTGGTTAAAACATTATTGTATCATGGGCAAGAAACTTATTACAATACTGGTTCAGATTTTATTTCATTCTCGTTCTAGGAAGTTCCAACAAAACAGGTTAATCTCTAAGTATATCGTCGGTTAGTGTTACATTCTAGGCAATAATTTTTCTTAATTATTTAAGTAGTGAATGGAGGAAATTAAGGGACAGTGGGACTTCATAAAAAAAAAACGTTGCGCGGAAGTTGGGTGGGTCTGTCTAGGGAAAAGGGGAATTTAACATAGAGAATGTATAGCGACAATATATTGGGTCTGTCTATGGACATTTGGAATTAAATTTATGTGAGTCACGGTACTGGACACTGTGAAATAATTGTAAAAATGTTGCAAGGGCTGGCGTCAATTTCGCGGAACAGTATTGTAACTCGAATGACTTGAATGCGCGTTACTCTAGGAACAAATAGAGACAGAGACATAGAGACATGGTTTGAGACAAGGTTTAACTGGGTTGGAGACACAGACATATACATACATAGATTTATTGACATAACTCTATCACACAAACAACTATACAACCGACTAAAAACTTTAGGCAAGACAGAATAAGTATCTTTTCGAGACAGTCGAGGGCCCTGAAAAAGGCCTTTGAGGGTATTTTTGTTAGCACTATTCAGTTAACACAGAGAGCATTGCACCGATCTTCTTCTCTTCATTAATCTCCGTCTGACATCTGGACCGTATAGATAAAGACTCTCTGCAGACAGCCTTGCCTCTCCACGTAGATCCTTCGTTTCCAATTGCAAGTCTCTGTGATCTGTCAATTGCTCATGATGATTTCACATATATGGGATAGTCCGAGTTGAATAACATTCACGATAAGAGGGTAGACGATTATACGTTAATCCACATCATGTGACGAGAACAGGTGAATGTAATGAGATAGATAGATATAGCAATTATAGTCGTATATGCATGTGCGTTTGCTTGACGACTTTTAAAGCCTCTTATTTTCATAAGAGACCAGAGAACCAACCCGAAGTGTGGGCCTTCAATACCCTCCTCCGTGGTTAGCCATCGGCCCGGATCCACGTGGAGGGACTTGACCCAGGGCTGGGTCTTATCGCATCGTACTTGACCTTAAGACCTTGACGTTTAACACCCAGATACAAGCAGAAAGCCTCCCAACCCAGCAACAGGCCAAAAGCGCCGGAAAGCCGCCAACAAAACCACACCCAGTTGCGTTGTTGAGGTGAGGAGTTCAGTACAATTGCAATTGATCTACTTCTGTTGTAATCTTCTTTATAATTCTCAGTTGATTGCAATTGTTTTACTATAGTTGTTATCTTCTTTATAGACTGCTATTCCATTTTGGAGAGTATGAGTCAGGTGCATTGCAACTTATCCACTTCTGTTGCAGTCTTCTTTATAGTTCTCGGTTGATTGCAATGTTTCCG